GCGCAGGTTCGGGGCCGGCACAGGGGCAGCCTGGCTTGCAGGGGGGCTGGATCCTCCACTCAAAATGAGTGGTATCTGCGCAGGCTGTCCCCCTGTGCTGTGAGGAAAGAGAGGGGCAGCAGAACTCCCCAGCACAGGGTTATCCCCAGAGCTGTTGGGATTTGAGGTCACTGTTGGGGTGCTCTGGTTAGGGGTAGCCCAGGGGTTCAGGCCCATGCTTCCCCCAGTGTTGCATGTGCTCGGGGTCCCTCTCTCCTTTGGTGCAATGTGGAGAGACTCGAGGCTGGAGCACAGATCCTCCACAGCCTGCTGCATTTTCCAGCGCCTTTTCCCCCCTGAACCCGCTGGCCTGGAGGGGGCTGGGCCCCTGCTGCCAAGAGCTGAGTGGCCCTCCCCAGGGCTGGGTGTGAAGGGCATCCCTGCAAAACCAGAGGCAGTGGATGGGCTGGGGGTCTGGACAGGTGGGGTAGCAGGAAAGGCAGGTGGGGTGCTGGCCTGGTGGCCCGAGGGGGTACTGAACCTCCAAATGTGGGATCTGTCATGCCACTTAAGGCTGGCTGGCCTGGAGTAGAGGCTGGGGTCAAGACCAGGGCAGGAGCCAGCAGGTCTCCAGTCTACAGAGAGTGATGAACTGCAGGAAAGCTGTGCTGGAAGGTGGCCCCAGGGGAAATGGGAAGCCTGATATTTTGGGTGTAGTCGGAGGCGCTTGGTGCAGGCAGGGTGCTGGTGACCCTGCCTGGGACTGAGCTGCCACTGGGGGCTGTTGCAAGGTACTGGGCAGGTGGGGGGAAGGTCCCACTGGAGCTGGGGAGAGACCCTAAGATGAGAGGCTGGAGAGAGGGAGTGATATCCCTGGGAGTCACCTGGGAAGAAGGAGTGACTTCCATTGGGGTCACCTGTGACTCAGATGCGGGCCTGGAAGTCCAGCCTGCAGAGGGGCTGCTTGAGAAGCTGGAGCTGGCCCCAGGTACAGGGAAGAGCAGGCCAGAAGTGTGGGAGACAATTGGACCAGGGGGGACTGGGAGCTTTGTGAAAGGGAACCAGGAGGGTGCACACTCATAGGGGTGGGGACAGCGAGGCGCTGTAGGTGGAAAGCAGGAGGGGGCACACTCGGGGTGGGGACAGGGAGGCCCCGTGGGTGGAAAACAGGAGGGGGCACACTCGGGGTGGGGACAGGGAGGCCCTGTGAGTGTGAAAAAGCAGGGGGCACAGTTGAGGTGGGGACAGAGAGGCCCTGTGAGTGTGAAAAAGCAGGGGGCACAGTTGGGGTGGGGACAGGGTGGCCCTGTGAGTGGAGAGAAGCAGGGGGCACACTCGGGGTGGGGACAGGGAGGCCCTGTGTGTGGAGAGCAGCAGGGGGCACAGTAGGGGTGGGGACAGGGAAGCCCTGTGAATGGAAAACAGGAATGGGCACACTTGGGGTGGGGACGGGGAGGCCCTGTGACAGGGAGAGAGGAGGGGGTACACTCAGGGTGGGGACAGGGAGGCCCTGTGAGGGGAAAGCAGGAGGGGACACACTCGGGGTGGGGACAGGGAGGCGGACAGGAAGGCCCTGGGAGGGGAAAGCAGGAGGGGGCACACTCGGGGTGGGGACAGGGAAGCCCTGTGACTGGGAAACAGGAGGGGGCACTCTCCTGGAGGCTGTCCTCTTCCTCCTTAAGGACTTGGAAACAGTCACGGAGGTGGAACTGGCACCTGATACGGTTGTGCCTGAGGTTCCGGGGAGCCCAGGGCCTCTATCTTCTCCACTCCCAGGGGGCCCCCACATGGGCTTCTGCAGAAAGTGGGGAAGGGCCCCCATAGAAACTGTACGAGTCGAGGTATGAGTTGGGCTTTGGGTTGGGCCGCCCATCCCTGGTGTGGGGCAGGGAGCAGGGACCCCAGGAAACAGACCTCCCCCATCCCTGCCTGATAGCGGCGAGGGGGCTGGGGCCAGCACAGAGGATGGGACAGGGCGCAGGGAGTGTGGAGGGTAGCCTGGAAGGAATCCTGAGGAGGAGCAGATTTGGCCTGGGGAGCTGAGCTGCCCCCCTGACCCAGGGTGCACTGAGGGGGCCCCTGCAGAGACTCCCAGGAGGGACACTGGGCCCTGCGAGTCTTGCCCTTTCTGGCCCCCCTCCAGCTGGGCACTGAGGCTGGGAGCTCGAGGGCCAGCAGGTGGGGACCCAAGACTGGAAGGCTGGGAGCTGCTGCAGGTCCCACTGGCCTCGGCCTCACCAGTCAATGCGCTCAGGATCCTCTGGAAGGCTGCTCTCTTCTCCTGGTCCAGGTCTTCTGAAGTGACCTGAAAACCAAGGTCAGGGGGTGGCGGCAGCACCAGAGGGTCCCCACCCCTGCGTGGCAGGAGAGGAAACCTTCGCTTTCGGGGCCTGGAATTATCCTGCGTGGGTAGACAGCCCTGGGGTGACCCTGCCCGTTCTCTGGGGTCAGGTGCCTCATTTCTGTCTGGGCTCTTCCTATGGGAAAGCTCGGAGGGTGCTGAGGGCGGCTGGGACCCCTCCTTGCTCTCTTTCTTAGGGGTGTTGAGGGACACCCTAGAGTGGGGTGTGGCCAGACCTCTCCTCCTCCTTTTTGCTGGGGGAAGCCCCTGACTGGAGCTGTAGGAGCTCATGATGGGGTTTCTTACGGAGCAGGACATGATGCCAGAGCCCGGGGCCACCCTCCTGGCCCTCTCTCCTGAACTCTGGGCAGGGACCTTTCTCTGTAGAGGCCCAGGTTGAGGAATGAAGGAGCAGAGACCTTCAGTGACCCCCAGAGGCCTAAATGCTGACTGTGCTTGCCCAGCCCCATGGGGGCCCCTTCTAGGGTCATTGGGGTTCTGTGGCACTGAGGGGTCTCCCTCCCTCTCAGCCTCCCCTTGTCTGCTCTCCCCGAGGTCCCTCAATGAGATGCTGGTGAAGGAGTCTCAGGCCGCCCTGGGTGTTGCAGGCTGCAAAGGCGTGCCTCTGTGCCCCTGGGCCGAGCAGAGAGCCCTGCAGAAGGCCTTGAAGTTGGGAGCTGAGAGCCCAGGCCTCCTCTGAAGCCCCCGCCTGCTCACTGAGCTCAGGCCCCTCAGACAGGAGCCCAGGGTCCGCAGGATCCTGGAACACCCTCTCCCCGCTGCCCTGTGGAACCGCCTGTGCAGTCTCACTGGCCTCCTGGGGGATGGCCTGTAAATGGGTCTAGGAGCATAGACAGCTGGGTGACCCCGGCCAGCCACCGGTCCAGGGCGGGTGCC